CGGCCCCCAGCCGGGCTAGGGGGCCTGCGGGCCGCAGCCGAGTGTTTCATGGGACAGTGCGAGGAACAGAGGTGTGCCCGGCGCGGGGGGAGCGCACGGGGATGGATGTCACCCGGAGGGACGCGTCACCCGCACACGGCACCGAACCGAGCGATGCAGACAACCCCCCTGCCCCAAAGGGATGCCTAAAGGTACTGAGCACCAAATAATGCAATTCCCATTCAAATGCTTCCGTACTTCTTGGAAAATGCTGCTCAAGCTCCTCTGCGAGTGAGCTGCGCACCGAGCAACGATGAAGTGCCGAGCCTACAGCCCCGAGCACATTCCCACCAGCCCCAAGAGCCCAAGAACAGGGGAGTTTGTTCCTAAACCTTCCTCCCAGTGTCGCGTTAGGCCCAGAGCAGCACTGCAGCCTCTGAAGCAAGGACAAAACTGCTGATTTCACAGCACGGGTGCCGGGCGCACGGGTTCAGCGCCGGCTGCTCCGCGCTCGGGAGCCCCTCGCCCTCCAGGGCTCCCTAGAGAACCACGTGCCCCTTCACCCTTCCACAGCAGCCAGCAAGAAATGGCATTTACCCAAACTGTGATTTAACACATCAAAAATACATTAAATGAGGGCACAGAATCTGTATGATTTAAAGTTTTCCTGGAACATCTGTTCCACTTTATATAAAATGGAATGGAACATAAAGCCTTACTCTTTACATTAGTAAGCCCTTCTTGAATCTATAAAGAAACTGTACTATATTACAGCATCCCACTGATATATATATACAAAATGGAAACAAGAAAGCTTACTGAATCTTTTCCAGGTCTTTTTTTAGTAGGAGATTTATGTTTTGATTCAGATCTTTGTCTAGCTCTATCCTTTTCACTCTCTCTATCTTTTTTGTCTTTTTCTCGTTCAATATCTGATTCTGGTGAATCCTGTATAAATAAAGGGAAAAATATTAAAGCTTCTGCATTCCCACTTTATTAACATACTGAATAATTTATATATCCAATACCCACAACTCAGCAGGGGGAAAAACACTTTTAATATAGACTGTATTGGAAAGTAACTGCTCAAAGCAGTTACTAATTAAACACATGCTATTAACCATAGCAGATATAAATAAAGCAAAATCATTACTGAAGTGATTTTAAAACAGAAGCAGAGGGTTTGTTAAACAGGCAGCTTTTTCTCTCTCATTGCATGTGAAGATGGGACATGCTGGATAGTGCATGGTAAATCTCAGTGTACACAAATGCCCTTTATTTAAGGCCACCTCTTACTGGCATATTCACTGCACACTAAAGAGATCAGGTGCCATGACTGGGTTCTTATTCCAGGTTTTATCTCAGTGTGGCTACTTTACCTAGCCCTGCTCTTGTTACAACATTTGCTAGCAATTACTTACTCAAATGCCTAACAATTAGCACCTTTCCCGAGTTTTGCAGCTACATGAGAATTTGGGAGATTCAACTTCCTTACCCACGACCAAAAATATTCCTTGGCCTCAGCTAACATGCGGAGTGAAAGCTTGCTTTCACCTCTTTGGGTTCTTTTGATGCTCCATTCACCTTACTATCAAGGCTTCTAAGGCAAAACCCTGATACCCAAGCAGGCTTAAAAGGAGTGATGCTCAGCATGAGACAAAAGGAAGACAGCTGTGATCCCTTCCAGCACTCCGTAACAACGGTGAACTCCAAAGACTGCAATGGCAATAAACAGAACATGCCAGGCTACCAGTACCATGGTCAAGTTTGCACGAATGGTCGCAGTTAAAACCCCCAAATTTAAGTCTTGAATGATTTCGTTTTATATAGAACTGAAGGTGCCAGGCTACTAATACCTCTCCAAGTCTGGTCTCACATAGTCCCTACTATAAAGGCAGCTGGATGGCTAGAAACACCTACAAAGGAGCACCAGAAGCATGAGGTGTTGGGTTCACTGGCCGAGTCAAAAAGAGCTACTTACTGACTTATGTCTTCTCTTCTTGCTCTTCTTCTTGTGTTTTTTTGACTTCTTGTAACTTCTCTCTGCAAAAACAGGGAAAAAAAATACATTGGTAAAAAAAAAATATTAAGACCAAGCAACAAAACAGTAACAGTCATTTAAAAGCAAAAGAAAAAACTGCATACCAGATTCTGCGCTGGAAGAACGTTCAGAAACTGATCTGGATTCTGAGCGCTGCCTTTTCTTCTTCGAATGGCTATCGTCATCCTCAGACTCTGTGCCCTGGAGACACAAAGCAATGTATTTAGCAGGAAGACAGCGTTACAAATAAGTTATACAGAAATAGACCTTAACACCTGATAAAATGACTTACTGAGCGAGAGCGAGATCGCTTCCTGTGGTGTTTTTTAGACTTTTTAGAATGTTTCTTATTCTTTGAATGATGATGCTGACATTCATGCTAGAAGATGAAGAGATTCCAAGTGTTATAATTGGACTATAGGACACAGCAGGAAACTAACGATGTTTTTCATCATCCAAAAAGCACCTATTGCTAGCAGTTTAAAAATATAAAAGCCATCAGTAGAGTGATGTTAAAGTTTTAGTAACAAGCATTTGGGAGCAAGGGAACACACAGCACACAGATCCTACTATGTACACCTGGGACACTGCTTCAATGCTTGTAATTTAAAGTGCTTGCTCAAAGCTGGCCAGAAGCAAGATGTGTTATCTTGCTCTGACAAATCTGAAATTATGACAGATTAAAATCTCTTAAAAACTCCAGAAAAATAAACAAAAAACACCAAGGAGTACACATGTTAAAATCAAAACTCACATTAACTAGGAAGAAAGGATTTAATATCCCTACTTTTAAATAATGCAGTTCAGTAGAATTCTGTTAAATCCTCTCAATTTTGCATGGCTTATGAGCCAATCAGCCAATATTTCTTTATTTTTTTTCCTGATATTAGAATATTAAAAAAAAAAAACACTACCTCTAACACATGCATGAAGTCTTTAAATATTCTTTTTCTTTCAGATTCTAGAGTGATGTCTTCAAATGCTGGTTCCTTCACAAATCTATCCCTGATCTGTAATGAGAGCAAAAATGAAATATTAATGTGAACACAGCCATTCAAAAATTAAAACAAAACACCCCACAAACATAAGCATGACTTCACCTACTGAAAGAAACTGTAAAATTACAAGTTAAACTTCTTTAACTGCCAATTTCATATTTAACAATGACCCAACCAAAACAGATGTTTTTCTCTGCATAATCCATTTAAGCTATGCAAGTCTAGCAAAATATGTAATTTTAGACACAATAGACTTTGAGGGGGAGGATTTTTAAATATTAAGAACAAAGTTTGAAGTTTTTAACCAAGTAGAATGCTCTCAGTTTAATGTTAATTTTTGATTTTTTTCAAGTGGTGTTTTTTTTTTTTTTTAGGTGCATTCAAATTTAAGTATCAGAATTATCAATAAAGTTATTACATGAAATGTCTGCTGACAGAAAATAGCACCATTCTGATGGGTCTAAATTTATATAAATGGCAAAATACTAAATTCTCCCTTTTACTTATTATGTTTTACTTATAAGAACACAATCATGCAATGGCCTTTTGTATATAATAAAAACATGCCAACCAAGTGACAACACGTACATCTTCCCAGACGGCATCCAGGCATGCAATGGCCTTTTGTATATAGTAAAAACATCCCCACGTACATCTTCCCAGACGGCATCCAGTTCAATGGGAGGTGTTGCTTGTTTCAACATACTCTTGAACGCGGACTCTTTCCGCTTCATCTTGCGAGCTTCTTCTTTCTCTCTCTCCCTCTCACGGGCTTCTGCCTTTTCCAGCAGCTACATCAAATAAAAGGTGTGAGAGTATTTGAAAGACATCAAAAGAAAACACTAATAGCTCAGTTTCATGCATTTTTTGCAAAGCCCACTGATGAAAGCTCTAAAGCTGAACTACATGTCAGAAGGGCAAAGTAGCAACACATTTTTAAAGCATGCAACAGCTGTTTCTCTAAGAGAATTTTAAAGTCAACTAGTATTTCATACAAATGGAAGAAATAAAGAAAAAAATCCCTCCTAAGAAAAATGTCACATGAGTACAAAGACACTATCAATTGCTACCACAAAATTTCATTTCAAGATATCAAGAGTATTTATATTTTGAATAAAAATCTACCTCTACCATTCAGGAACCGATATGAAGATAAGCACCCTGAAGGCACTACACCTCTCAAACACCATCAAAGTTGTCATAAAAAAAAGATGCAGTGAAATAAATGCAGCTTCTTGTTTTATAAGGTATTACGTATCAGAATTTTTAAATTATTTCTATATATTAATACTTACACTATTGAAAGCCAGTTTGATATTTCCTGCATCTAAAGTAGTAGCTCTTTTAGTTGAGCTGATGACTGTAACAAAGTCTTCAAAAGAAGTATTCACTTCAACCACAAATCCTTTATCCTGGAAGAAAAATGACTCCTTGTGAGAGTTCCTGACTTAATTGGTTAATTGGCACTAGCTCTAGCACGAGCCAAGAGCTCAATTACTGGTTTCACAAATTGAATATAGTGGTATTAAAAAATACACGTCAGTAGAGGCATTTTCTTCCCTACCTTTAATATATCTTTTATTATCTTCTTTTCATCATGGTAACGTGCTTTCAAGTCTTCAACATAGAACTTGAAAAGATCAAGTGCTGTTGATCCTGATGAAAAAACTAGATAAGTCAAAAGCTAGCTCTAGCAAAAGAGCTGCATTTTTTTAAAAGATTTAGAAAATATACAACTAACCCAGCTCTACTCTGCCCCAAGTCTTTATACTACTCTTTATGGGTTGGAAGAGAAAGTATTCTTACCAGGCTGACCAAGCATATTTGTGAATCTGATGTCAGAGCTTATGGTTGGGTACAACTCCATCCAAGAGGACATTGAATGCAACTGCCCATGTTCATGCAATTCATCTAAAAATATCTATCAAACACCAAAGAAACGGAAAGTTGTGGTTATGTATCACTTTGTTAACAGGTGCACAAATTCTTTGTTAACAGGTGCACAAATTGGGCACAAACACTCCTGATTACTAAAATTTCACTTTCGTTTAAAA